AGTCAACTTCTTCAGGATTCCAGCATATACTGTGACTTTGAACCCCATGGACTAAACAACTACTGGATTCTTGGACCATCCATTGATAGAAAGCCATTGTTGGACTAGCTGAACCACAGTCTGTAAGCCTGTCTAATAAATCCCTTTCATGTATGTAGATATGACTCAGTGGGATTTATATGTATCAGTTGTGTATCTATATGTATCAGTTCTATATCTATATGTATCGGTTCTGTATCTATATGTATCGGTTCTGTATATATATGTATCAGTTTTGTTCCTCTGAGGAACCTTGACTAGGTTCAGGTTCTGTGACTGATACAGGTCCTCTGAAGAACCTTGGCTAGGTTCAGGTGACTGATAAGGCCAGGGTTTTTAAATTTTATTTATTATTGTTGCCAGTTATCAGTGTTTGATTTGTTCTCAGTTTTGGGGACAAGGTCTTGCTATTTAATTGGGTTGACATCAAGTCTCCCATTCTCCTGTCTTAGTCCCACAAGGGCTAGGATTCCAGATGCACATCACCGTTGTGGGATATCTGTACACTGTGTGAAGATGTGTTGCTCTGGTTGGTGTAATAAGAAGCTGAATGGTCGATAGCTAGGCAAGAAGTATAGATGGGACTTCCAGACACAGAGAGAACTCTGGGAAGAAGAAAGGCAAGAGCCACCAGCCTTTCAGGAAACAGGAGATGCAAGATGGAAGAGATGCAATGCCATGTGGTAGGACATAGAGTAATACTAATTGGTTAAGTTATGAGAGCTAGTTAAGACGAGCGTAAGCTAAAGGCCTAGGTTTCATAATTAATAAAGTCTCTTTGTCATTATTTACAGGCTGGCGGTCCTGATGAGGCAATAGCACTACACATCACCATGTCCAGTTTCATCAGTATTTTTACTTAACAATATTTCTTTGAGATACTTATATATGTACATAATGAGCTTTCTGTTTCGTTTTCAAAGACACATTTTCACTTTGATGGAATTGTTATTCTAGCTGTAGGGAGACAGACAGTAAACCAGTAAGATTGGGGGTGTTGCTCAGTGGAATAATGTTTGCCAAGCATGAGAGCAGCCCTAGATTCAAACTTAAGTAACTGAAAAACAAAATAACTGCTGGATGAGTAAAATACTTTGCAGTAAAACAATGATATCGGTAATGTGGACAATTGGCTGTGAGTGGGAAGAGCTACCGTTTTAAATAAGGTGGCTAAGGAGGGTCCTACTAAGGACATATTTTAATACAGGCTGAGAGGCCAGCATGTGGGCAGTGCGAGGGATGAGCAAGTGCACAAAATCTTCAGGGAAAGGAAGGTGCCAAAGTGAGAGAGGTGTCTTGATAAACTTTTAAATGTAAGTGCAGATAAGCCTTTAAGGAGCAGTTAGAAGCCTGTTTGAAATATGGCTTTCTACGTGTCACTGGGCGACAGCAAATGAGGCAGAGAAATGATTTTAACCTTTTCTGATTTGGCCTGCTTACTGGAAACCTCAGAACTCAACCTTGTGAACTGCTAATCAGATAAGCATGGCAGGGCTTTGAAGAGAATCATGCTGAACACACGCCCGGGGCAGGTGGATTTATTAGAGGAAGTACTGCCCAAACCAGCTGTCAAAGAAAGTGTCATGAGAAACTCGGGATTAAAACACAGTTTTCTGTTTTATGACAGTAGTTATACACTCTAACTTTAGAGGATGGTTCAATGCCCCTTTGGATTGTAAAGGTAATGTAGCTTATAAACCCTATGAATTAGACACTCTTTAAGGTAGTGATGTGGGAGGTCCTTCTGCATATGTGTTGCTTTTATTGATTAATGAATAAGGCTATTTTGGCCTATGGCAGGGCAGAATAGAAGTAGGTGGGAATTCCCAGCAGAGATAGAGGAGGAAAGAAGGTGAAGTCAGAGAGATGCCATGTAGCTGCCAAAGGAGAAGAACATGCTGGAACCTTACCCAGTAAGCCACAGCCTCGCGGTGATACACAGATTAGTAGAAATGGGTTAATTTAAGATGAAAGAGTTACTTAATAAGAAGCCTGAGCTAATAGGCCAAACAGTGTTGTAATTAATATTGTTTCTGTGTAATTATTTGGGTTTGGACAGCCAGGAAATGAACAAGCAGTCTCCTACTATAAAAAGGTAAGATAATCAGATAATGTTTCTCTTCTAAAACACCTATTTAGTGGAGTACTTGAGTTTGAAATGTACATATTTAGACTTAGAACTCAAAGAACAAAATTTCAAGAAGTTAAAAAAAAGGTATTTCAAAACAACTGCTGAATTATTTCCATGTCTTCTTCAGGCACTGAACTGTTTTGTGATTAATACAAACTTTATGCAATGTGTATGTGTTTGCATGAATGTGTGTGTGCACGAGTGTGTGCCTGTGTTTGTATGAGTGTGTATGTGTGTGTGTGTGTGTTTAGGGTAAGGTCTCACCGAGTAGTCCAGACTGCCTCATTGCTCTTTCCCCTCCAGCTTCCTAGTGTAGTGCTGGGATTTAAGGACTGAGCCATCAAACCCTGTCCCACCTTTGCTTTTCAGAGACCAGGGTCTCACGTAGCTCAGGCTAGCCGCAAACATGCAATGTAACAGAGGGTGACTGTGATGGTTGGAATGAAAATGGCTCCTTAGGCCCATAGAGACTGGCACTATTGGGAGGTGTGGCCTTGCTGGAGGAGGTGTGGCCTTGCTGGAGGAGGTGAGTCATTGGGCACAGGCTTTGAGGTCTCAGAAGCTCAAGCCTGCCCTAGTGTGGCACACAGTCTCCTCCTGCTGCCTAAGACAATGACTTTGAACTTCCGATCCTCCGCCTCTCCCTCTGACTGTAGGGATTACAGACATGCATTGCTATGCTCAGGTTTTTTATTTTTATTTTATTTTTGTTTTAGTCTGATGCTGGGGGTCAAACACAGGGTTTCACAGTCTGTGCCAAGAAAACACTACTGGCTGACTTCCATTCCCAGCCCCCACACTTTTTCCTCAGCATCCCAGGTTAAGTATAACACTAAAGCCGTGTGTTGTTTAAAGGAGAAGAAAGTTGAGAGATGAGAGTTCAAGGCAAAAGGACAAGTCAAGATGGCAACCTGATAGACAGAGTAGCAGAAGGGAAAGACAAACGAGACAAAGATCACAGATGAGCAGCCCCTGCAGCAAGCAACCAGACCAAGCAGGGCCTCATCAATTCTTTTCCTCCCCTCTCCTCTTCCTCCTCCTTTGACAGGGTCTTTCTACTTAGTCCTTCCTCTCCTGGAACTCACTGTGCAGACCAGGCTGGCCTCAAACTAACAGACATCTGCCTGCCTCTGCCTCCCCAGTGGTAGGATTAAAGGTGTGGGCCACCACCTCCACTAGCTTCCTTTTATGTTTTTTTTTTTTCAAGACAGGGTTTCTCCGTGTAACAGTCCTGGCTGTCCTGGAACTCACTTTGTAGACCAGGCTGGCCTCAAACTCCTTTGCCTCCCAAGTGCTAGGATTAAAGGTGTGAGTCACTACTGCCTGACTTAAATAATTTGTTTTTAATTTTATGTGCATTCGTGTTTGCCTGCATGTATGTCTGTGTGAGGGTGTTGGATCCCTGGAACTGCAGTTACAGGCAGCTGTAAGCTGCCATGTGGGTGCTGGGAATTGAACCTTAGGTCCTCTGGAATGAGTAGTAGTGCTCTTAACCACTAAGCCATCTCTCCAGCCCCCAAACTAGCTTCTTTTTTATTTGTTCCTTTCCTCTTCAACTCAGGCCCATGCTGAACATGCTACTCTGACCCAGTCACCCAGCCTTCAGCCTCTCTCTGCTATTAATAACACCCTTAAGTCATAGATGTATGAACCTGTGTTCCTTTCATTATTAAGCCGTTTCATTCCCCCGGACAGCATCGATTTTCTGCCAAATGCAGTGACAGTCACTGTCACTCGTTACAGCCAGCTTTGAATGAAGCAGCCGCTATTGATCTCATCTTGGTCTTCGTCCCTGTCCCAGTGTTCAAGTATATCCTAAGACAGCTGTGTTTAATGTGTGAGAGGGTGGCCTGGCTTTGGGAATGTGTAAAAGCAGAGTCCTGCCCTCAAGGATATTCAGGCTAGTGGAGCAGACAGGAACGTGATTGTAATTCAAGGGGTACCTGGAACAGAGGTGTTTATAAACAGATATGTGGGTCAAGTAAGATTTTGGGAGGAAGACGATCCTTAAGCCAAAAAGGTAAAAGGTGCGCAGGGGCTGATTACGCAAAGCAGGTGGAAGAAGAGCTAGAATGAACAAAAACTATCCGGTCCAAACCCGCAAGGGTACGCGAGGAGCTTAACCAAGAGGCGAGGAGACGCCGCCGGTGTACCGTGGACAGGTTGAGAAAACCTTAGACTTCTGCCATCCCAGAGGGTTCTTCATGCAAATGAGACTCAGGGATGGTGTCAGCAAGAATAAAAGCACCAAACGACCGATGCTTTTGTGTGTATCACCATAATTTTCAGGGCAGTGACACAAATGTTCATGATCTTCACACAGTAGACCATCGATCGACGGTGAAGGAAGGACGGAAGCTCTTCGATGCAAACATCGGTCTTCAATTTTTCCCCACAATGTTTCTATCACGAGAGGTGACAACGAGCCTGGGACATCAATTTGTGGGCAAAAGGAACGGGATGGAGGAACTGCCATTGTGGGAAGAAACGTTGTGGGAAGGGGTGCACTGTTGTGGTGAAGACCCCGAGACTCACCCACAGGAAAGATCCAACAGTGGGAGCAGCGGCAGAGGAGGCCACCCGCAGGAAGCTGGCAACACAACAGTCGGTGGCCTCTTACCTATGCCGGCCACCTCTCACTCTCTAGGCGGAGCTTGGTCGCGGCGCCTTTGCGATTGGCAGCGGCTCTAAACCGGAGGCGGGCTTTCGGGGCCAGGCGCTCTTGAGGATTGGCCCGGCTGTGAACAGACTCTCAATTTGCGAACGCGGCGGGTTCGTCTGCAGCTCCGGCTGCGCGCAGGGCGGGCCTCTCTGGGTCCCCAGCAGTCATTGGCTCGGTGCGGTTTCCTTGGGGACGTGGCGCCGCTGGCGGCCAGGCCTCCTTCCGGCTGCTCTGGGAGCCACGGGTAACCGCTGAGGACCAGGCTGGGCTGTGAAGAGGGACAAGCGGGCCTCGGGATCCCGTGAGTGTCATCGCGGGAGAGCTGCGGGGAGAAGAGTGACGGGAAAAGGAAGCGGGGTCCCCCATTCTTACCACCTGGGGTGGCTGGCGTGGTCCGCGAGCACTGAGCCGGCCCGTAGAAAGCCTTGTGTCTGGGATGCGCTTAGGGTCCTCTTGGTATGGGGGTTGGGGAGAGATCCGACAGGGAGTGGTGGGTGGTCTCAGTACCGTGGGAGGGAAGTGTGTTGTCATTGCGGGGATCTAGATCTTTGGGCACTTCTGGACGTCGGTCTGAAAGCCAGCCAACCCTTTCCAGGCTTCAGCCTTAGGAGATGCCGGGGACAAGGAAGCCACCCTCTCAGGGCAAAAGGAAAAGGAGGTGACAGACGTCGAGACTACTGAAGGGAACCCATGGCTAGGTAAGGTTTCCACCCGTTATCTCTGGCAAAGGGCTCAGTGGAGGGTGGTAAGCGGGTTGAGTAGGTGGGTGGCGGGCGCCGGGAGGCTGTTACAAAGTGAGGTTTGTCCGAGGCTTCACCTGAACTTTGCATTCTGGTCAGGTGTATGCAAAGACAGCAATGTGGTATTCTTTTGAATGGCCGGTGCATTAATTTCCTGTCCATAGTCTGGGGTCATGGGAGTAACAATGGTTGCCTCTGAAAGATGGTGGGTCAGAGCCAGATTCAGTTTTTACTACGTATGTATCTGTTAAAGCTGAGGTTTTTTTTTTTAAGTCCGTCTGTGTGTATAATTTGTTAAAGCATTAAAAAATCAGTTAAATAACTTTTCTAACTGTCTAGCTTCTTGACAGCATTGTTAGCAGGCATGGAAACAGCAGGTCAGGTCTTTCTGAACTGAATAATAGAAATACTATGAGCTGTACAGGTGCTTTTCTCTCTAAAGAACAGCCTTCTCTTGGCATGCATTTTCGCCTTGAGGGCTTTCATCTAGTTTTAAAGTGTCACTAATGGAGAGATTTAAGGCTTAACAGATGTTTGTCTCATTCCAGAATCAGTTTTTCCTACCTCTGCCCAGCCTCCTGGTACTTCACCGTGCCCACAGTGAGCCCGTTTCTCCGTCAGCGGGTGGCACTCCTCGGACTCTTCTTTATATCCTGTCTCCTTTTACTTCTCTTAATCATGGACTTGGGACATCGGGGCACTTCGTCAGCTCGAGATAGGCAGTATGAGAGGTGAGTCAGCTTTACATCACTTTGACTAGCCTGCTGTTGACGTTATCAACTTCCTTCTGGGCTGGGGGCCGTACCAGGGTTCTGGACATGTGGTAAGCAGTCTCCCACCAAGTTATGACCTCACCCTCCTTTTTCATTTTGATTGTTGAGACAGGGTTCTCACTAACATCCCCAGGCCCGGAATGACCTGGAACTCACTCAGTAAGCTGATCTTGGAACTTGCAATCATGTGCAGCTCAGCCTCTTGACTGGTGGGATAGCAGTCTGTGTCACCAGACTTGGCTGTCTTTTTTCTTTTCTTCTTGATAAACTCTTTAATGCGTACCTTGGACTCCTGAGAGATATGACATTTTTATTATTAAAAATGCATGCTGTGTATTACATAGGAAGGCCTCAAGTCCATTTTTGGGCTGTGTTCAGTTTTAGTTCAAGAATGCTGATGCTGTATTTTAGCCGTGAAAGACGGCTTTCTGTTTTCTTGTCTGGGTGGATTGACGCTCAGTGACTACATACATATTTAGGATTGCTGTATGCTTCTGATGATTCTATGAACTGACTTCTCTGTCTCTGTTAAATGAGTCTCTATCCTTGATTTTATTCATTGCTCTGAAGTCTACTAGTGTGCTATTAATATAGCGAGTTCAGCTTTCTTCTGAATCATGTTAATGGGACAATTTTCTATATACTTTTAAGTTTGTCTTTAAAAATATTTATTATTGGCCTGGAGTGGTGGCCTTTAATACCAGAACTTGGGAAGCAGAAGCAGGTGGATCTCTTGAGTTTGAGGTCAGCTTGGTCTACAGAGCGAGTTGCAGGACAGCCAGGGCTACACAGAGAAACCCTGTCTCAGAAAAAAAAATATTGGTTTGTGTGTGTGTGTGTGTAATGTGTGAATTTATATGTACCTCATGCCTGAAGGGGCCAGAGGGTGTTTGATCCCCTGTAACTGGAGTTGTGCATGGTTGTGAGCCACCATATGGGTGCTGGGAATCAAACTCGGGTCCTCTAGAAGAACAGTCAGTGCTTTTAATGGCTGAGACTCCTCGATAGTCCCCATCTCTCTATTATGTTTAAGGTGGACTTTTTGTAGATAGTTTAGCCTTGTTTTTTATCCATTGTCTGTGTCTTCCTTTTAAGTGGGGTGATCAAGCCATTTACATTTTGTCTATTAATTATGTTTAGACCTGGTCTGTCTTATCATTTCTGTTTGTCCTATTTGTTTACCGTCCCCCCCCCCACTTTGATCTTTCTTTGGAATTGACTGCTTTTTTTATGATTCTATTTTATTTCTTTTGTTGGATCATTAGATATAATTTGATTTCTTTTCATGGTTGCTTTAGGATTTATAGCAACAGCTTTACCACATTGCTTGTACTTGGCCAGAGTTTAAGAGCAGGACACTTTTGGTCCCCCTTTCCCGTAGTCTTTAAGCTATTGTCATATATTTTATGTCTACAAATGGTGCCAGTTCCATAATGTACTGTTGTTGAACAGTCAGTCAACTATCTTTCCAAGGATTCCTAAAATTAAAGAAAGTGTTGTATGTTTACCCATTTTTCACCAGTGCTTCTAGCACCATATTTCTTGAGCCATCTCTCCAACCCTAAACTTAGACTTTAAAAAACAAATTTAGAAAAACTTTGACCAGCATTTCTTCATATATTTTTCTGTTTTCTCCTTCTCCTTTGAGGACTCTAGTTACATGTGTATTGAGCCCAGGATCCTTTCCCCAAACCAACTGATGATCTATGTTTTCTCTCTGTGTGTTTTATTTATTTATTTGGTTTTTCAAGACAGGGTTTCTCTGTGGTTTTGGAGCCTGTCCTGGAACTAGCTCTTGTAGACCAGGCTGGTCTCGAACTCACACAGATCCGCCTGCCTCTGCCTCCCGAGTGCTGGGGTTAAAGGCGTGCACCACCACCCCCCGGCTCTCTGTGTGTTTTATTCTGAGTATTTTATTTATTTTTGGATATGGCCTCACTATGTAGTCCTGGCTAGCCTTGAATTCTCTATGTAGACCAGGCTGCCTCAAAGCAGAGATCTGTCTGCTTCTGCTTCCCATGTGCTGGGATTAAAGGTGTGCACCACTGTACCTGATTCATTAATATTGTCCTCCACAGTGTTTCACCTACCGCTGATTTTATTCAGTGAATGCAGAATATCCTTTTCCTATAGAAAATGCTGCTAAGTTATTTGCTGTGCTCTCAGTGCCTTGACTGCACAAGGTGACCTGCAGGCTTTTAAGAAAAACTCTCATTGCTGTATTTTTTAGATTAATTTCTGCTGAGGCTACAGATTTAAATGATGTCATGTTGTATTCATTATTTTCTTTCTTTTCTTCTTTTTTATTATTTTTTTCAAGACAGGTTTTTCTGTGTAATGGCCTTGGCTGTCCTGGAACTTACTCTGTAGACTAGGCTGGCCTCAAGCTCACAGAGATCTGCCTGCCTCTGCTTCCTCAGTGCTGGGATTAAAGGCTGTGTGCCACCACCACACAGCTGTATTCATCATTTTCAACATGGTTTTCTTCTTTTTTTCAGACTTGCTTCTCAGATATGTGTCAGGAGACTTTGGCTCCAAGTAATAACTCAGACTGACTTAAATAATAGTAATTACAAAACAACAACAACAACAACAACCCTTACTGGCTCCTATAACTCGAGATCTAGAGACAGAGAGACCATGGGCACCATATTAGCCAGCAGGATGGAAATTGCTGTCTACGGGGTTAGCTTATTTAACGGTTGTAAAATAACAGCCAGTAGCACCCAGGGCCACAGGCATCCTCATTCAGGTCCTGTCGAGAGAGAAATAGGCTCTGCTTGGCCCTCTCATAAGGATGGAGGGGGATCTTGCCAGAATCCTCTACCAATATTTTCCTTGAAGCTTCTGTGGTCAGAATTGTGATAGATGCCTAGTCTTTGTTTTCATTGGTTCTGTCTCCAGAATTTTCATTTCATGTTTAATTTTGTCATTAATCAGCTAAAAATGTGTTGAGAGCCACCATGCTCAGGTATTGCTGGGACATAGACTGTTTGGTGCCTTTTCTCAAGCTGCTTGTATGGTCAGCCTTCCCTCTGTTAGAACTTCTGTTTATTTGTAGTTTGGAGTCTTCCTTTCCAGGACACAACATACTGTTTGGGGGGCTATAGTAGTCAGCAAGTGATCTTAAGAAACTTGTTAATTAAAATTGTAAGTTTAAAATCCAGATCCATAAATTGAATTTCTTTGCTGCCGATTTTTTTTTTTTTTTGATAGACCTCGGCACAGTTTCCCACTGGAAAGACAGCATGACCTGACTATGGAATAGCTAACACGGCTAGGGCAAAGTATTAAGAGTTGGTAGTGACATAAATCCTGGTATGTTAAGTTGTGAGATCAGGGCTGGGATAGGAGTGGAAGTGTGGAGGGAAGTATTTAGATTTCTTCCTAAGGGTAGAGAAAAGGCTTAGCAGGTTTTGAAGAGCTGTGTGTTAGAATTTGCTCTTTAGAAAGTTCAGGTGGGTGATGGTGGTGTGCACGCCTTTAATCCTCAGGAGGCAGAGGCAGGTGGATCCCTGCGTTTGAGGCCAGCCTGATATACAGAATTTCAGGACAGCCAGGGCTACACAGAGAAACCCTGTCTCAAAAACTAACAATAACAAAAGCTTACTTTGATGGCATTGTAGGGAACGAATTGGAAGGAAATAAGGAAGCAGAGAGACTTACTATAATACTTGAGCCAAGATGAGAGTAGCCTGAAGTTGGGCAGTAGTCGCACAGATCGAGAAGAAAGAGTGGTCTGTGGGAGGGAGAGTGACCACAGTAAGGTTTTTGTTTTTTTTTTTTTAATAAGTGCATTTGGTATTTTGCTTGCATGTATGTCTGTGTGAGGGTGTCAGATCTTGGAGTTAGACACTTGTGAGCTGCTATGTGGGTGCTGGGAATTGAACCCAGGCCCTTAGGAAGAACAGTCAGTGCTCTTAACTACTAAGCCATCTCTCAAGCCCCTGATGGCAATTCTTGTTAAGAGTACTATATGCTAAGTAACCAGATCCAATAACTAACTACTTGTTAGCTTAATTTAATTGAAAGAAGAGCTCTTTGGACTGTGGAGCACACAGATCTTTCGCTGTAAGGCCATTACCAAAGTCCTCACACCTTGAAATGCTTTGGCCAAGCAGCCGTGTACCCTAGAGCTTATTGTTATTTATGGCTGTGTACACGTTGCCACTAACAGCTCTCTGCTATAAATTCCATTGGTGGCAGCCTCCCCGACACCGTGCGTTCGTCGTATCATATTTGACACTGGGTACAAAGATGAATAAAACGTGGCTCCTGAACACAGAGTTCATAACCCCATTAGAGAGCGGACCTGAGGGAGTAATTGAAATAGTCATTTAAGATCAGGAGCTACCCACAGTTAAGAATCAGGAACAAAGTTAATCATAAATGAATCCAGAGAGACCCATGAGTAACTGACCAACTGTGCTATCACTAAGTTCACGTCCTAAAAGAGCGCGTACCTTACTGATAAGATAGGCTCTCATACGCAGCTTGCTTTGCTTTTTCTTCCTCCTCCTGCCCCCACTTCTCGTTGAATTGTTTTTGTTTTCATTCCTTGTCACCCTGTAGGCCAGATTAATTTGAAAGGATCCTCCAGGGAAGCCTTAAACGTTAATGTTAATGCTCTTCCAACTCAGACCCTAAAGCCCTGCTGTTACAGTCAGGAGCCACCAGTGCCTTGCCTTTCCATGGCTCCAGTTTGCCTCGCCAAACCAAAGATTACAGCAAATTAGAATGATGGCTTCTGGGAGTCCAGGTTGTCAATGCGTGCAGGTGCCCTAAATGCACTGGTAACTGGCATGCGACAGTGAGACAGAAACCAGGAGTTGTGTTGCATGCCTGTAATCCAAGCCTAGGAAGGTAAGGCAGACTAGGCCACCTAGTAAGATCCTGTCTCAAAAATACTGGGGGAAAAATACACTGAATAAATCAAAATTTCTACATTGTCTGTCATA